AAAACGGGTCTGGTTTTAAAAATGAACTTAATGTAACACTCTATCTCTGAATAAAATTGTCAAAAACCTGTTCGTTTTTTATACCACGGCTAAATGCTCCATTACGGTGTATTATCATTATAAAAGGAACTATAAAACCGTTCGGTTTCCAACGGGAACAAAAAGCATACATTAGTATCAATAAAGTTTATCACAAAACTCCCTACTGTTTACAAATTAAACTAAAAATATGGATCCGCCTTGAGGCAGAGAATAAATAAAACGATTGGAGCTTTTAAACGAACAATCACAAGGAAATGCTAAATGATTGTCGAATAATAATACTAGCGATAGTAAGAGGAAGAATTGTAGCCATGCTGTCGACGGAAAGGAAAAGGACTCCAATTCCAGAACTTCCTGGGAGGCCCAGCAGTTCGGACTGAACCGGTCAACAATGACAGAACAGCCGACTGAGAAGAGTAAGTGAATGTGGTTCACGAAGCACTTGAAGCCGTCAAATTAGACGCTTTAAATTGATGGGAGTACCCAAAATATTGTCAATGGCGTTTGTGTTACGATCTGAATAAACACAGACCAACCTCTCCAGAAATCGCATTTTGATGATGATTCGAATAACATGCATCAGTGCCAAACTGGCACTGCGGAAAACTCCCGCAGGAAACTTCAGAAGCTGTCAGTCAGCTGGAAACTGACTGCCTTCTGAACCTTAGCAGTGGCTTCATTCGGCGAAGGGTCAACTGTCCAAAAAATCCAAGCAAGCGCACATTAACTTCCTCGCATCATCCGGGAGAAGGGAAACTTTTTGGGAACGATTGAGCTTCCACACAGCAAAAAAATAATTTTGATATCACATCAAAGTGGATGCACTACAATCATGTCGAAAATTTCATGTAATTTTTATGACCACATAAATAAACAAATGCAGTAAAAGCAGCGTAATGTCAGTTCATGCATTGTATTAATGATAATTTTGTCCTTTTTAGCAAGTAATATTACACCATATTTTCGACATGATTGTAGTGCATCCACTTTGACGTGATATCAAAATTATTTTTTTGCTGTGCACCTATTCCAAGTGATGCAGATTTACTTCCTGATTAACTGCAATGGATGATAATCACCCTTATGGAGGATGCCACTCAACTTGTTGATCCAACGCAGGAGTAGAAGCTTGGTGCAGTGATCGCGCAACAAAACTATCGAAATGTAAACAAATTTTGACGTTTGACTTTTTCCAGGCACCATTAATGCCGTCATAAACCTAAACGGAATAGGATCAAGCAAAATGGTCTCAGATAAATACAGCCTGCAAATTATCTTCATTAAAGCCAAATTAAAACATTTTGTATTTGTTAGCGATTTCATGAAAGCAAAATAGCTTTTTCACAATTGGCCTATGGAAAATCAATTTTTATGCCACCGCCATATTGCTTTTATTACATTTGTTTTTTTTTGTACTATCTTCGTTTTTCAAGATGTTTTTTCATGAAAGTAACTTTAATCTCATAAATTCATCAATTAGCAGTAATAGAGATTCCAAAAATCATTAAATTATCTCAGCTGGACGCAATGATTAGTATAAAATATAACTATTCGTTGTTTCCTAAATTAAAAATAATAATAATTAAAAATCAACGATTTCCCAAGGCGGACTTATTTTTTTCGATCATTCGAAGCACATTTCACATTACATTTAATCTGTCACCTTAAAATCACAGACAAACAGACGTAACTCTTTGATAAACTTGTTCTTGAAAAGATAGTATCTCAAAACATATAACCTCAGTAACGACATCTCTCTGGCTTCTCGCGGAAAACAAGCTTGGTCGCTAACTCGTAAACAATATTGCATAAAAGTTCTATAGAATGTATAGAAACGTCAAAATGATCCGATGCCAGCGCTGCGGCGAGTAGTTCGCGGAACTGATAATATTCAAATCAACCGTTAAATGCATGAACGAAGATACACAATGAAGAGTTACGTCTGTTTGTCTGTGTTAAAATAGACCACAAAATGATAATTTTGGTAATTCTTTCACATTAGATGAGGAAATTTAAGAAGATTTTTGAAGATTCATTTTTGAACAATGAATTTGGCAAGATCTGATGATATTTATGTATTCCTTTTTATCTTGATTGATGCTTTATTTTCAGTGACGCTGGCTAGCCCAGAGGCAAATGGCACAAGTATTGATGCCAAATGGTTTTTATTGTAGTTTTGACAAGGAATCCAAATGGTTTTTAATGCTTTTGTCATATATCCTTTTTGCAGCAAATCAATCTTGAAGTGCCTCGAAAATATGCCCTTCAAAACCTTCTTCGGGGTGGGCCAACTAGACATATTCTAGTCTTAATGAGGTTTTGGTGGATGTGATAAAGGCAAAGCCGTCTTGACCAGGGTTTTATTAATGTTGTTTTATAGTAGCCTTGCAGTGTTTCATAAAACGTAAACTGTTACTTGGGAACCTTAACAGATGACCAACTACTTTCATGAATTTGAATTTTGACATAACAACATTCTCTTGATCAAGGCAACCTCTGAGTATCGAAGTCAACGTTTGCTTTTCTTCATTCATGGCTGGATCTTGATTATCGTCTCTGTTGTTGTCAACATTAATATTCGTCTTCATCTTGGTGGGGATGATTTTGAGGATCATATGCAAAATGATTATTTTCATTTTACACAAATATAGCGGTGAAGAAAGTGTCGTGTTGGTTTATACACACAGATCGATGGAAAATGATTGCCTTATGCTGAATTGGTTTTAGGTTCTGGGGTTGATAATACCCAAATTACTCATTTTGCCCAAAATGAATTTGACTATTTTGCTTTTGAGGATCGATTCTGATTTTGAAAATTTTGGCTTGAGCACTGGCGAATATCACCAAAAACGTATTCGTTGATGTATAATGAACTCATTTATTCATTTCGCACGTAGGTAACAGTGGAGATTGTCAAAACAAACGTACCGTTCCGATTCAAATTTCGGACGATTCAAATTTCGGACACTTTCATTTTTAATTAAATATTACATCCAGTTAGAAACAAAGTAATAATGTTAGATGATCGTGGAGGGCACTAGTCAAAAAAATTTAAAATTTACAAGACATGTGGATCATATTCGACCGAGATAATCAACTTTTAAAAGTGTCCGAAATTCGAGTTTAAGTGTCCGAAATTTGAATCGGCACGGTAATTCATCTGGTTAGCATGCATGCCTCTCACGTCAAACGTCACCAGTGCAAATTCGTGATGAGTCACGAATGACCTTTAGTGCGTTAAGTTGACTACAGTAAAAATAAAAAAATAAATATACAAAATTCCCAGTAAGTTAACTTAAGATACCCCTTCAACAGTTAAAAAAAATATGCCTGCTATTCAATACCACGTTAAATTCGATTTGTTTACAAATATTTGATAATCTCATTTGTAATGTACGTGTAGAATTGAGTCTGATCTCAGAGCTCGTGCAGGTTGACTACTCAACATTATAGATGATGAACATCAGCTTCGTATTACACATAGGCTTCCTAAATAAAATTGTGCATTTTTTTCTACTCCACACAAAGTACCACTCCACCCCACCAGTTACACGCGAAAAGTGACATCAGGTTTCTCCAACCATTCATTCTTTCTACCTCCCGATCGCAGAAGTAGAGATTGAGAAAGAGAGACGGAGTGACTACGGTCGGGCGGCTTATCCTTTTGAAATGCGAATCTCACGTCGTCCACCAGGAGACCACCACCAATTGTGTCCCCGTTCTCCTCTGCACGCGCAAATCGGCGCACCCCGCAAGCAGAGTTTCCCATAAGGTGGAACAGATTCATTTCGTGGTTTATTTATAGCCTTTCCGATTTTTGTCGCCCCTTCCTTCTCAAATGCTGCCTGCCTCGGTCGATCGAATGTTCGTAGACTACACCGCTGCTGGCAGGTCGCGTCTCTTGCTCGCGATGTTGCACCGGTGTGTGGTGTGGTACTCGCCCATCCATGTAGCCATGTTCGCTAAATCCTTTCTTCGTCTGCCTTCCGCGTCGTCCGTCTGCCTATTGAGTTGCATTGGAAGATTAAGATATTAAATAACGTATAGCACGTTCATTCATTTATATTCTCCCCCCACGGTGGAATGGCCGCAATCGGGCGGTGCTGTGTGATCGTTTCTTTCTTTATTTTGGTTGACTTTCTCGCTTTCCAAACAAGCAGTGTGACGGAGAAGGGGAGGCTTGCCGTGGCGTGATCCTTTTCGCTGTTGATGCTGCTGCTGGGGGATTCGGGTGATATATATAAAAAAAAGTGCAAAATGTTGCAACTCTTTCGATGATGCTTGCACGGTGAGAAAAAAGTTTTATACATGTCATTTGTTTGTGTCCAGGTGTTTTATGGATGACTGAACGACTTTTCGAGGACTGGTTTTGATTGCTGTAAATAAATGATCAAATTTAATTTATTCGAAAACGATTTCGTCGAATCTTCCAAAAAATCGTCATGGTCTTAAATACGTTTATGGGTGCAATTAGCTGGGTGATTCATGGATGATGTCTGTTTTTATGGGAATAAATTAGCAATTCTGAAATTGAGGCAAAACTGAAAATTGTACCTGTATATTTTCAGCAGAAAAATCAACAAATATAACGGCAATGCAATAAATTTGCTTCTGATAGGTCTCACGAGACTAGCGGGTGGGAAAACCCAATGACAATATACATGCAAAAACGTGTGTAGGACAGCGATATTAGTCACATTTTTTTGGTCAGCTCCTGTGAGACAGTTAAGTCGCCGCCGCCGCCGCCGCCTCCAACATTTGTCATCATTTCGCAAAATAGCAACACCGTTAATCAAGATGGTCAGCGCGTGTTTCAAGTTGTCAGGCATATAAATTTTGCTTGTTTTCTTAGTTGTTTACAATTCTGTTGAGCAACTCATCTGATGTATCCGAATAGAAATGTTACCATATCGACTAGCATTTTAATGTTGCTATTTTTTTTGCTGTCTCTTTTTCAGATGTGTTCCCGCAACCTAGCGTTTTCGTTGGCACTTATAATCGCACTGGTACCCCTGGCAGCCGTAGCGTTACCTCATCACAGTGTCGCCAAGCGCAGTTCGTTTTTCGACATAGAGTGTAAGGGACAGTTCAACAAAGCGATCTTCTACCGGCTGGATCGGATATGCGAAGACTGCTATTCGTTGTTCCGCGAACCACAGATTCTGTCCTTCTGCAAGTGAGTAAAGCTGAATAATGTTTTCACGATAATTGCGTCCTAACATTACTAATTTCCTATAGTTTGCTACTGACTAACGGTACTAAACAATTAAACATAATGATTGTATTTCAGATTCCTTTACTAATGACAAACCTTCAATGAGTACTTATTTTACTTCCATAACACCAGGTAGAGCAAAGTTTTATCGTGTTTTTATTGGCAGTTTTGCAAGATGTCAATCAAACGTACCCAAGCAAAGTAAAAGCTGATCTCATGAATCTAAACCCTACGTCAAGTTAAAATCAAGATCAGTGTTGGGAAAATATAAAAAAAAAATCAAATCTCACCAAAAATCAAAATCATGCTTGATTTTCGTAGACAAAAATCAACAAGCAAACAACTGCAATTGATATTGAATGCTCGGAACATCAAGCTATCAAAATTCACCAGATGCAAATTTCACCAAACTGTGGTGAGATTGAGTTTCATTATTTTTGCTTTACACCCGAATGCTTCCGAAACTTTCACAACGTCTGGAAGCAGTTGCTTCTCGTGTCTGCCATCGGTGAAGAGTAAAAAGAGATAGCATTATTATACCTTCTGTTTCTAAGAGAACGAGATGCAACGGAATCATGTTTGCGTCGATTCAACTTTCAGTTTCAACTTTACACGTTCTGAATAGTCTCGCAATGTCAAAGGAGCTTGTAAAATCAATATCAAGCATGATATTTTACTCCAATATTACGCGTGATATTGAGAGCGTATGAGAGCGGAAAAATATCAATTTGTTGATGATTATGCCATCACTGCTCATGGTCCTTCAAGATCGTCTGTTTTAAATTACCTTTTCACGAATATGAACTGGTGTACGAATCGCAGCATTACTTTCTTTACGAATTAACTTTTGCTTTGCTCTCTTTCTCGGAGACCCAACAGTCTCACAGTTGGAAATAGTCACTACGGACAAGACTGAATTAGCTGTAGTAACGGTAATTTAATTGCATTTGCCGTATTGTGCGTTTTATTGAAGTCGATCAGACTTAGATGTCATACATACGATTTGTTTGAAATACGCGTATCTGTCTGTCTTCTCTTTCTTTATACCAGAAAAATTCTAAGAAATTCCAACAAATACGGCGAATAGGAAAAAGTGCTTAACTTCCCAAGTTCACGTGCTTCGAGAGCTACAGGAAACTTCCGAAGAGTACGAGTCAACAGTCTCAGAAATGGGCGTACAGGAGTACTAACATTTAGTACATTTTCTTTCTAGAAGCTTTCAAAGTACCGAACTGATGTGTTTCCAGTGCATCGTTTTCATCGGGAAGTTTTTGAAGTTTTAATGGTTTCATGTGTTTCTAAAATATTCTCACTACTTTGGGATATATGAGGATTCCGAATCCCCGCTGAGAACCAGGCTTAGGTAGTGAAGACCTGCGAGACAAATTTCGTCACGGTTCACTAAAATTAATATTTTATTCATGAATCCGATGTTTATTCAACTGATAAATGCTCAAAAAACTGTGGTGAACCGTACCAGTTCACGAAAACCGCGGTTTCCGAAACCACGCTGCTCAACAAGATTGTTCAAAACACAGTTTAAGTTAAATGTTTTAATTTCTTCGTCACGCTGATTCTTGAACATTCATCAGTCGAATAAACATGGGGTTCATGAAAAAATCTGACAGGTGCGATAAAAACTGACAGGTGCAGCCTCGGTGAACTAACCAAGTATGCTGAGAACCACAAATTTTGGTTCCTGGGGTTCTGACAATACTGAAAGTTTGTAGAGTTGTTGATATTCATGGAGTTTTGCGATGGCTTGAAATTTGATGAATTTCAGGTCTTTTCGAAGTTGCTACAACTACGAGAGCTTTTAGAACTTAATGCTAGCAGGTCTGGGACTTCTTGGAGTATCGAGAATTTTTACAGGTTTGAGTGATTTTGGAGCATTCAGGGGAGTGGAGCAGTGAGTGGATGCCACGCTTGTTACTGCCAAAATTGCGAGAAGTTCGGAACTCCAATTACTTCTGGAGCTCTTCAATGCCTTGGGAACCATCGGAACTTTTTGAGCTTTTAGAAATCCCGATGAGCTTTCGGAATTTCAAGGCCTCTTGCAACCTGAAGAAAGCTTAGGAACTTCAAGAAATTTTAAAACTGGGGTGACGAATTAGAGTAAGAGCGAATGAATATTGTGATCTTAGAATCAGAGTCAGAGCCGGTAACATTTCAGGTCGTTTCAAAGTTCCTACAACTACCAGTGCTTTTGCTGGAACTTCTTGGAGTACCGAGAATTCTTAGAGTTCCAAATGATTTTGGATCATTCGGTACGGTTTTACTACCAGAACTGCGAGATCTTCGGAGCTCCAGTGACTTCCGGAACTCTTTGAAGCATTAGGAACCATCGGAATTTCGTGAACGAATTCCCAATCATCTTTTGGAATTTCAAGGCCCCTAGCAACCTAAAGATGGCTTAGTAACTTCGAGAAATTCTGATACTAGAGCTGAGGAGTTGAAGTTAGAGCGAATGAATATTGTGTTCTGATCTGAAACTCAAAGAAAAAAAAAACATTATAGATTTTGTGGACTATTATTTTGTTTTACCCAAAATACAGTCCCTGTTTGTTTCTTGCCAGGTGCGAGAAAGGATTTATAACAGTTTATTTTAAGCTGCTGTAGACGATTCGCTATTTGAACTTCCATGTCCATCTTTTTCTACTCACTTTCTAGTCGCTTAAACACTGACTACCAGATTAACGGTGAATTGAATCAGCTCCATTATGTAGAGAAAATTTAAGACAACCTCAAACACTCCCTCTATATAAGAAAAATTCAAATAATGGTGGTTCATTTCCCTAAAATAAAAAACATTCTCTCTCTCCTTGTTTGCGTAATTATTGTATGGATCCAGCACCACAATCAGCAGCAAAGGTTTTCCTTTCAAACAATCCTGATGGGCGGAAAGTTTCTCTAATGTTCTTTGCACGTCGAAAAAGCTCTCTAATTTTTACTTCTTGAAAATGTTCGCAACTTCTACGAAGTTTCATAAACTTCTTCCAAGTTCAAAATGTTTTGTTTTAAGTTCTGTCAATTTGACCAAGACCTCACAACAACCATAACTTTCTCCAAGCATCAGGAAAAGCCTTGAACCTGTTCTACGAATTTTCCTAAACATCTGAGCGAAAGAAAGTTCCAAAAATTCCAATGCAAACCCTAAAGTTCTAAGAAGAATGCTAAATTTCCACGATACTTCTTGAGATTTTGCGAAATTTCCTGAACTTCTACAAAGTTCACTGAGTTTCTACAATTTTGACTGAACTCAAGTCCATTGATCCTAAAAAAAATCCCTGTATTTCTACGAAGTTTTACGAAGTTCCCCGAATCGCTACGTAATTTGCTTGACTTCTACAAAGCTCTCAAAATCCCTATGAAGGTTGCTGCACTCTTACAAAGCTCCCTGAACTTTTTTTGTTCTGATTTTCTACGATGTTTCCTGATATTAAACAATGTTTCCAGAATTTCTACGGAATTTCAAGACCTATTAAAAGTCTGGAGAAGTTAAGTAGTCTTTTTAGTTGCTTTTACTGGTGACAACGCTTTGTTGCGACAACGAATCTCCACCCCCAAGCTTCTATCCTGCGACAATGTACCCCTCAACCTCGGGTAAGCCACGGGTATTTGGCCCAACTCCTTCTAGACTTAGAAATAAGTGAATTTTGTTACAAACAATGAATAATGAATTATCAACTCTGTAAAGCTAACGCGATTTGGAAGGCTCAATCGCGTACGAACTAGATAAAAAAAATAACTTTAAGTTTTAAGAAGTGCCCTGAAGCTTAAAGAAGAACTTTTGAGAATTTTCTTACAATCAACCAAAGTTCCCATAGCTTCAGCGAAGTGTCCGAAACTTGTAAAGGCTTCTTCCGATTTTTACAAAGCACCCAACATTGATTCAAAGTTATCTGAAACTCTAAGAAGTTCCGTGAATTTATATTAACTTTCTTGAATTTCTATGATGTCCTCGCAATATCTAAAAAGCTCCTAATGTAGTTACAGAAATAAAAAACATGAACGTCAACGAAATTCCCCCAAATCTTGATGAAGCTCTACACAAAGTTATATGAATTTCATTGAGCTTCTACAAAGTTTGCTGAGCTTCTATAAAATTTGTTGCACTTCTAGAAAATGTTCTGGCCTACTGCACAGTCCAGTCTACGAAGTTTTCGAAAGTTCTGCGATGTTTCTTGAAGGTTTATGAAGTTCCTTGAAATTCTACAACGTTTCCTTTACTTTCAAGAAGTTTAACATTAACGAGTTTCTCTACGAAGGTCCCTGAAGTTCTGGGAAGACTCTGTTTGAAAAATCTGAAATATTGAACATGAACTACTTCGCCCACCCGAAAATTTAAAAAAAAGTAGCGGTGACGACATGTGAAGGCATCTCGTCAAAATCGTTGAAGATTTTTTCTTAATGCACCTAGCATCCCTGGGCTGAGTTAGTGAAAATTTGTTGTGATATCTATTTCTCCTTCAGTGTTCACTCGGCTGTCGACAGAAGCAGGCCACTCTCAATGTGTGTCACGCGATCGTCTGTTTACTCGGCAGCAACCATTATGTGGTTCTCTTCATTGTTCTTCATCAGCAGTTCTTTCGGTCGATGCATCGTCGACTTTGGAAAGCAACCGTTTCGTTATGCGCCATCGACCGACGACCAAGGAAGTGATGACCACGTTTTGCGTCCATTTCTGCAATGGAAACGCTCTGACCCGATGGCGATACTGCCATACAATGAAACGATTGGAAGCAGATACCGTTCTGATGGAGGAGGCTTATTGGATAGCTGAAGATGAAGTGTTTATTGTGTTGTACCTTTTCACTATAGTTTTAAGATGTATTGTATAGTGAACAAGAATCCTCGGCTCTGTAAAGTAAATTCGATTGAGCCTTATCAAATAAATTAATAATAAAAAAAATCTATTTCTCCTTAAGACTACTATTATGGAAGGTGATAAGGGCTTGGTA